AATAACTGATATATGTATTTTTGTGTGTGCATGTGTAATGTAAGCATACCACTAAAGGTGTGTGGACCAGTTCGCGATAAAAATAAACAAGAAAGCCCTTTGATAAGAAAACAGCAGCAGCTAATCTTGCGAAATTTTCCGAGTTGTGTCGATGATCATGACCAATCACAATACCATTAACAACTGATGTGGGTAATGTATCAAGTAAGTACACACAGAGACCCTATCACCATCAAAATTTAATATTATTGATTTAAAATTTTTCCCAAAAATCATGAAATAAATAGATAAGCACTTGAGAAGCCTGAATCACTGTTAAATCATTCATTCTAGAAAATCCTGCTTCCATCTTTGATCTAAGACCTATATAATGAATGTGCGAATGACTAATGAATGAACAACATGGATAGATGATAGATTGATGGATGGATGATGGATGGATGGATAATGGATAGATGGATGATAGATGGATGGATGGATATAGACACCTGCTGTACCAAAAGAGATCCTATTAAGGAGTCGTTTTCCTAATTCTTCAATGTTCCTTTCACCATATAATTTTTCTATTTCTGCTCTCGTTGATGGATTCTTTTTTTAAAAAAAAAAAATTCATTTAAAAATTTATTCCGAAAAATTACGTCACTATTAATATCAATTGTCATTTCTGTAAAACTGCAAACACAAACTTTGTCCAAACGAAGCCATTCTTGTAACATATTAGATACAATGACGGTCTTTGTTGTCAACAAATTAGGGAAGTTTTATAATTACAAAATATAGAAAGCAAATTATGTGGAAAATATCAATCGATAAAAAAAATTTTTTAAATGTTTAAAACCAACTCATTTTCGTTGTTATTTTTTTATAACAAGTTGTTGCTATAAGGGGCGAAGTTCATAACCTTGATTCAAAAAATCAGGAACTCCATGTGAATGATTCAATTTAGATCCAATCTTAATTTTAATTTGTCCTAAAACCCCATCAAAGTAGGTATCTTGATCTGGGTGGTCAACACCTACCGCAGATACAGCACAACTGCCTTTGAATCCCGGCCACCAATTGCTCTGATTTGGCTCCTCTAATTCGTAATGAATGGACTGTAAGCCTTCGTGATAAACCAGCTCATAGTATGATTCTTTTTATCATTATGATCGCTTCAACAGCAACTACAGTTAACTTTTTCCGCTTTTAGACAAAAACAAAACTTATTATCAACGGTTTGCTTACATACAATGATATATTTCTGCAGCAACAACAAGACTGGGCAATATTCACCTTCGGCTCTTCAACTAAATTTTCAACACATAACCATCGTCACATATTGGGATATTTTAAAGGATAGACCTCAAATCACAGATGATGCGCCCAAATTTAATTGATGAAAAGATGTCGGGATCGTGATCAACAAAATAGATCATCAATAGCCGATTGTTTTAGAAAATATATTCTGAGATTATTGATACAGCTGGGTCTAAATTATCAATTCAGAAAAGGAAAATATTTGTCAGATGTAAAAAATAATAAACATCATTCTTT